GAGTAGAGTTTTATGTATGATGGATTTGAGTATGGTTTAAAGCACTCGAAATGATACTCAAGTCCCTGCCATTAGGGTCGTATTTCCAGTGCTTGTGTTTCCAGTGCAATCCTGACTTGAGCATTGAGTAGAGTTCTAGAATACGACCCTTAGATTTTTTATCTCTCTTTATATATACTGCAACTGCCTCCGTGGCCGAACGGTTTGGTAACCGATGCCGGACTGCCACGCAGAGGTCCCAGGTTCGATTCCCGGGCCGGGAGAAATATTAGTATGGCCTACATTTATTTTTAGAAAGTTTGGGTGTAATTTGTGGTTGTCTATGGTCCATGGCACCCGCGACACAGGGAATCCCTAGTGCGGGGCTATGTTCAATGTGTGCGTTATTATTATTATATACTTAACTTAAAATGAGACAAACTTTACATGAGCTAGTATGGCCAGTCTCACTTTATAATATATTTGACAAGTAGGTTTGGATGATGAATGATCTGTCACTGGAAGTGATTATTAAGTTTTTCATCGGTTCTGAAAAACACACTTTTTGAGTTAATACGTTAGACTATGGATTTTTTTCCATCCTCTAAAGTTAATACACTGTTTAATAACAATGCAATATATTTTTAAAAAGCTTTTCTTTGACATCTGACGTTTAAAAAAATAATCTTTATCCACGGCGCCATCTCGACATAAAGAATAGCAAAAACAAACCTCGGAATGTCAAGTATTTCGGTCAACAGTAGATAAACACTTCAGAAGCCGAAGGTTCCTTAATTGATGGCCACCCAAATGCACTTTCTTCTTTTATAAGTAATCTAAATAGCAACATAGCCATGCAATATGGCGGCACTATCAGTCGATGTCAAGGATAGATTGGACTGATGGGAATTTATCGCTTTCGGGGCGCGGCGAAGGATATGCGAGACGACTAGGAGCGGTCTTGATAGACGATGTTTACCTTTTTCTGGTTAATGGAAGGATCGAGTTCTGTCTGCCGACGTCAATAAGTAGCTTGACAAATAGGGGAGCAACATAATGTTTGCAACTAAAGTACCTCCTGCGCTGGTTATGATTATGAAACGATAGAAGAAAATGGTACATAGCATTCATTGGTTTCTTTTTTCTTTCGTATCTAGTTGAAAAAAATACCGTAAATAGTTTTAACAATTAAAGTCATATTGTTTATTGCTCACAAACTTACCGACGCTCTGCAATGTTATGATAGATGCGTGGGCGCTGCAATGAGGGCGCGATCGATCGCCATTATGTGGGCGCAAACGAACCCTTTGTACTGTTAAATTGGTATGAGGGTCTGACCGATTGCCTTTTGCAGTTTCAAAAATTAAACGCCTACTCAAGAACCGTATTTTCAATGTCATGACCCTTTTAAAAAAATAACTATTAATACAATATAATAGCTTCATTCAATTGTTCTTTTAAATCTAACTAAAGACTGATCGTGATTGTATTTTATTTTGTTTTCTGTTTTTTTTACAAAGAACCTTTAGAACCTTTTACCAATAGAACCTTTGCATTAAAATTTAATTCTTACGACATGACTATAACTGGTATATAATAAAATCATTTTTATGACTGTTTATACTTCATATTTATTATAAAGACTTGATAATACCATCTGTACATTTATAAAGCCCACCTACGCATCGCGTTTATTTGTCGAGGATCGTTTAGGGTGCACCCGGTGCTCGGCTTTCTCTGTGCCAACAAAATGTTTAGATAAGGAAATGTCGCAACACCCAGCAAAACAATGAAGTCTTAATTGTAAGCAAGCTAAACATACACATTATTCTAAAAGTTCGTTCACCTCACGTGGGTGTAAGGTACCGTGCACGAATTCTAGAGATCACAAAAGGAATAATGCTAGTGTGGTAGTGATAAGCAAGAAATAGGAAACAAAAGCTCTCTAATATTATTATGGTTTATCGACATTTTATTGCATGTGATATAAATGATCTTTTCACAAATGTTTGGTGTGATGATAACTCAACATGTCAAAATAGAATAAATAACTATTGTAAGTAAGTAATGCTTTTTTACCTAATTAAAAATAAACTAAACCATTTGTATGTACATATTTTTTTGTTTGTGCAATTTCACAGAACGCTATATTTTTAATAATAATTCCAGACACTCTCAACTTCTGTCTTTCCATAAATACGAGTTCCTTTTGACTGAAAGTATATTATTCACATACTTAAATTGATTAATGTATATATAAAGGCAAGAGCAACCCTCATAATCAAAGCTACCCGAGTCCAATCGTAAATTGAATACTGAATACGGTTATTTGACGTCGCACGCGCACCAATCAATTCGTTCTGAAATGATCGATGGTCTGATGTTATAGGCCAAATTATGACCGAGTTAATATCAATTAATTGTTTTATTTTAAGTATTGGGAAGATCATGGTTCGTATATTTCCAATTACGTATAATTTAATAGGAAATCACCAATTCACGAGCTCAATAACAAGTTTTTATGATTCTCTTTGTTAGTGTTGTTCTTCTTTACAGAAAAACTTAACTTTACTCATTAATTTTCCTATTATTTTACTTTATCGGTAGATAAAGATTTTTTGCTGTATAGTCGAAAGAAGATTTTTTTTAAATTACGAAAGCTGTTTGTTTATTACTCAAATACCTTCTTCGGAGTTACCAGTTCTATGTTATCAGTTATTTAATCTACACATAACTTCATAAGTATATGTAGTGCTTAATTGGTACCATGAAAACCTCAATTTTCTATACCATTAATTGGTTAACAAAGAGACATAATTATTAACTTGAAAGATTATAAATCGGAATTTAAGTCAAAATCCACTCACGTTTGAAACTAACTTACATTTTACGAAATCAAAAAGAATTACAACTTTACATGTCCAATATCGAAAATTGAATCATACTCCAAAGGCCAGTTGAAAAGGTCCCAAACGAGCTACAAAGTCAGCCATCCTAATCGGGAAACAATGCACGCGCATTACGATGTAAATGTGGCTTCTAATTAAGCAATGAGTCGGGGTTCGATCCAATAATCATTTACGCTGATCTACCGCTTCCTCATTCCGGTACAGTGTAGTTAAATTTCATCGTATGCATTTATGTATAGATTGAAAATAAACCAATACAAATCTGCTGGCAACGGAAGATTATTTGATAATTGGCGTTATGTATATGGCACCTTGGCACCCGCGACACAGGGTTTCCCTAGTGAAGGATAAGAGTGTGTGTATTATTATTATTTCATATTTTAAGATATATTATTTATATTTGGCCGGTTTAATTTGGGAGTTTTTGTCGAGTTCATCCACTAATGAGTTAGTTTATTGTTTCTGTTTTACAGTTTGCAATTCGTACGTCCTTCGTATGTCCAGGTGCTTATTGTTATTTAATTAAAACTTACCTACATATTTGCCGTATGTTATTTCTTTTTATCATAATTCTCTGTCGAAGAGTTTTCTTACTATTTTACAATAAAATTCTATTTCCTTAATTAACGCAAGGCAAGATAATTACTACTAGTTAATAGTAGTTCTTTTTATAACAAACGTATTTTCCCTCTCGTAATTAAATCATTGGATTATGCAAACTGCAGTAATTGCTCTAATTATTTAGAATTCTTAATGAAATGCTGTTGATTAGTTGTGTCAGTATTATTAAGAAAAGTAAGTAAAGTAGTCAGTATTATTCTGTAAATAAATCAATTAACATTTGTTCAAGTTCGTAATTACAATATCTGCCTACATTTGCTTGTTATTAAACCGGTAAGCATTATTTAAAAAATGTAACTATCAGAAGTTTTTATCTACTCTTTGACGACCTCGGGTTCCCAAAGGTTTGAACCCTGGGCGCTGGATGAGGAGATCCCGGGTTCGACATCCGATAGAACCAATTTGGGAAATGAATTTTTCTAAGTCGGTTCTGTTCTGGGTGGTGCCCCGGAGTTATATCCGTTGCTCTGGATTTATAATACAGAGAAATCCCTTGTTTGGGACCAGGTAATTAGTGTAGTATGTAATTTTTATATACAGTTCACAATTTTTTGGTGGACATACTACTCAGTTTATATATCCCACATCTGTCGGCTTATACGCATTCACTGCTCGATACTGTGCTGTCTCCCGGTACTGTCCCACCCTGATCCAGTCGCGGCCGCCCACGTTTCTCAGATCGTCCGTCCATTTTGCCGTGGGGGATATTTCCATGTTCGTTTTCTCTATCTAATATCAGTGGCAATTTTTAAATTGATATTGCAAAAAATATAACCTGAAAATTACCCAGGGCATCCTACACTATGTTTGCTCTGACGTGGTCACCAACCTAGAACAAGTTTGCTCCAAGGTCCATCAGCCCTCCTGCAGTCATGTCCGGCCCACTGCCACCTTTCCGACTTTGTGAGCTGTGTCGGTCACTTTAGTTCACTGACGTATGACTTTAATAGGAATTCGGTCCTTTCAAGATACCCCAAATACATCGCACATGTCGTATATATCATACAGAATGCATTCATTTGCATACAGTAGTGAAATTAAAACAGAAATGAATGCATTGACATTATCCTCATATAATGTATTCAAACAATAAATAACTTATGCCTACATTATGTGTATAATTAAGGCCCATTCATTTGACTAACGTCATGTTCAGCTTACGTCAACATAATGACGTAATGAGAGCCTACTCTGGCGTCATGGCGAGGGCTCGGTACACCCTTCTTACTACAATTTTATTTATGCCTTGTAATTTTGCTCATTTGAGGTACATCTGACAAATATAATTAAGGTTCATGTGTACTTTGAGGTCGGAATTGTTGTACTCAAAAAAACTCATAAAGGAACTTTTGGTTATTTTTTGTATTCCTTTAAAACAAAATGAGTTATTATAATGATTTTAATGGAGCTTCAATTCTCACATTGAAAATTTCGATTTTAGTTTAAAACATATAGACCAATTAATGAAACGATTTCCCGTTTCAATTACAGGTTATTAGTTGGAGCACCACTGGGGCAGAATCTGCAACCAAACACCACCAGATCAGGAGCACTATGGAAATGCCCACTTACCTCACCTCTCGATGACTGCATTCAAGTCGTCACAGATGGCAAAAGAAGTAAGCATCTTGAGCATACAATACATTATATCTTAGCAATATATACTTTACACAATAAATCGGTAAACCTTTAAATTCTTAAAAGCAATATCACCTTTTATTCTTATCGTATGTATTATTAAATACGATTTCAGCAAATTTTGTCACGTATTATGCATATACATATATTATTCTACTTATTATAGTATATGACTGATCTCTTTTCAGCAAATTTCAATAATACAAGACTTTGATAAGCAGCATATTTCTACTTGGCAAGTTAAGCATATTTCTTGCTAACAAAATCTATCTGTTTCAAATTCTTTCTATCTATAATCTTTTCGTAATATCATTTTCATCTTTTAAAAATATTGTACACTTCATTATCAATACACAAAAATGACATTATTTGTTACATAGGTGTAGGAAGTAGTAGAAATTGTAAATTTAGAAGCAAATAAATCACTGTCAGTTATAGATTTCTTAGAAAAAAATCACGTAAGTAAGTTTTAGTAGCACAAAATCAACGTAGACTTAGAAAATTGATATCAATCTATTAAAGAAGATCACAATATGATATTTTATATTTTATATATTTGCACAGAAATATAGACATATAGACACTGTGTGATGTAGTGTTCACTATTATTTAAAAACAAGAAAGGATAACTTGGGACTAAACTTACAACAGGATTCATTAAGAACATTCAGAAGTATTTATCTATAAATAAATATAAGTTTTAACTAAACTGTTGTCTTTTGTCGGTGGCGCCACAAACAGCGAAGTACGGCAAGATAGACAATAGTAAGTGAGCTGTGGTCTCAAACTTTTAATTCGCCCTGACTAATACAAGACTAATCACTGTAATTTGAATACTAAATGTCTTTTAAGTTCCAATCATCGTTATTAGCATGCAACACTAACTGTTTTCGGGGCCTTTATTTGGCTTAAACTTCATTCATATTTATAGTACTTTTCGTGTTTGGGATTTATTTTTGTTACTGCAATTTTACCTTGTAAATAACACTGTGCACTTCAGTAATTACTACGAAGAAATTACATATACATACATTGACTCCATAAAAATAATTAAAACAAAATTGAGTCCCAAAAGCGAGAATAATATATAGACCAGCACTAACAGCTTGCGAACACACCAATTCACAGCTTGAGCTAGAAATCACCTTCAATATATATATAATATTGAATACCTCATATTTATTATAAGTGTATGAAAAACATAAGATCTGTACACAGTTGAAGGTATACTTTCAAACGTACTGTAGATCAACAGTCAACGTAACTGTACAAATATACGGTAGCAGTAGCTTCACGTAGAGTAATCAAAAAGCTTTTAATTAGGCAAATGAGCGACAATGCTCGATAACTACTTGAAGATTAATTTTATAATGAAAGTTTTAACTCAATTGAAACTGCTATAGGCTCAAACGACCTAACACGCAATAGAGGATCATTAAGGTGACTGGTTATTAATAAAGCACACACTTAACCTACTTACGACGAGAAATGACGATAAAAAATATCGAGAAAAACTTTTACTGCACATTATAATATTGATATTTAATAATCGTCAAAACCAATGTATGTCTGGATTATTATTATCTTACTGATGAGTAGAATAACGCTGGACCGATTGGCATTTATAGATTTTATTTAAATCATAACACCCTAATTAAATCATAATTGGTGTCCTTCTGGTGGACTAACGAATCGGCCGATTAATTCAGCTCGAAATTAACAAACTAGACGTAGACTTCGATAATCGATTAACATGAGACCACAAGTTTAAGCCGTACCTTCACGTTGATTTACAGGTTACGCAGGAGAATGTCACCTTAATTACGTCACTGTTACATTTTAGCTTTAAACTTTTTAGATTTCAATGCCACTGAATGCATGTTTTCTTTTTAAAAGTCATCCAGCTACGCACGCGTTTGTACAATGTGATCCTACAATTTTTTTGCAAGATTTTTCTATTGTTTCGCTGTACAAACTATCTTGCATCGTTCACGCCCGCCTGGTTGCAAAGCTTTGCATTAGCCGATATATTCATCGATTCCGTTTTCCAATTGATAATGAAACCGCAATTATCTGAACGAAAGCATAGTAATCGGCTTTGTTTTAATTACCTGTAACTTTTCACTATTTGTAACATTTTGCTAAAAACAAAGATACATAAAATCATCTCGCATTTCGTTTGGGTTGATTTTCACGTAACAAAAATAAGGCATTGTTATTAATTGATGTGCGGTTTTTTGAGCTTTTTAATGCAACTAAGCAAATAAGAATATCTTTGGCTAAAGAAGATGTTCAGAGCCAACCTACAAACAACCGTTTTTTGTGTCACGCTTTCTTTAACTTCATTTAAATTTTAATTACTACAAAGCTTTGGTTTCTGTAGGTGTAGAATCGAGCAGACTGTCTGCTCCTCATCAGGATGAGATCAAGGACGGCCAGTGGCTGGGAGTATCCGTTAGGAGCCAGGGAGCTGGGGGAATTGCTGTTGTATGTGCTCACAGGTAGGTTATTATCACCTATTTGGTAAATTTGTCAATATCCAATATAACCTCAAAGACATCAGATTGTTTTTTTTCCTACATGAAACAAGACACTGTTAAAAGGATTGTTTTCTATTTCCAGATATATTCGAAAGTCAGGAGAGTCGCAATATGGTCAGGGCATGTGTTACACGCTGAGTAACAATCTTGAAAACGCTGAAATGTGGGAACCTTGTTTAGGCAGATCAGTGCAAAGGTAAACCAAAAACATGTACGGACAACGGCACATCAGAGTACACATTTTTGTTTGAAAATCGTCTCCAGTGCAACGGAACAAGATACGTCAATGTGTAGCTTAATGTGCTGGCGTGTGTACATGAACTATATGCATCAACTTATTGCCTAAACTCTTTAGTGTCTATCTATTTGGATGTTAAACAGGATACTTTTATCTTTCAATGCGCCTAACATTGATGTAATATTTTTTTTCTACAATGTTGCTCTAAATGAAACTTATGTGGACATAATTATTTTATATTTGAATGATGTTTTAAAGTATCAAAAATATTTATCATTAATTTTTCGAGTCAGCACATGAATTTTTCTATGCATTTGTTACAGATCTTTGTTTTTGGTTTTAACGGATTTGTTACGATAGCACCATCTATGAGAAATCTATGAAAGTTTTTCTTCACTCGATCCTTACAACTGCCAGAGTGGCTACAGACAAAAGATGTCGCTTTATAAATTGTAATATTGATTGTAATGAGTATTATGTTGTGTTACTCCCATGATATTCATTTATTTTTTGTGACATTACATTACTTCACTGGCTTGTTATAATTATTAATATAAAAGTCAAACACAACGAACATTCCTTCGATCTGATAGGTCTTGAACTCGCGTCTGTGCCATACAAAACGTAGTATTATTTTTTTTATACATGAAAATAGTATCCAAATATAAAATAATTAAAGTAATATTGTGGAAAAACAACAAATGTGGGTTACACCACTTTATGTTGATAACCTCATTATACTTGTAACTCATAGGATTATTTTCTCATTACTTTTACAGAGAACACGAAGAATTCAGCTTTTGCCAAGTAGGCACGAGCAGTTCACTACTCGATGATAGCACTTTAATTCTGGGCAGCCCTGGACCGTTTACATGGAAAGGAACAATCTTCATCCATGATGTGAACGATAGCTACATTCAAAGAGACAATACCGTCTACAACGCACCTCTTGAAGCAGGGAAGAGCCCGGTTGAAATGTACAGTTATTTGGGTACGTTACTCTAAATATAGTTTATAACGCAATGTTTATTCTGTATTGTTGACTCCAATCTATGTGACTAGTTCGTTTAGTTTTGTTTAGTCAACATTTAAAAAATTTTTCAAAACTGACCATCTACTTCACATACATAATACCAAAGTAGCTACCAAAGTAGGTTATTTTATGGTCCAAATTACAGGTATGTCTGTAACTGGTGCACCATTTTTCGGAGAGAAGCCATCATACGCTGCAGGTGCGCCTCGTTCAAGAGGCACAGGCCAAGTGGTCCTCTTCAGCAAACGATCAGCCAACGATTACAATGATCCCAATTTCATGATATTGAAGACGATATTGGTGCTCAAGGGAGAACAGTTCGGATCCAGTTTTGGTTATGAGTTGGCTACTGCCGATGTCAATGGTGATAAGTAGGTGTTTTTTCTTTATAGTACAGATTTACCTAAATAAAGGGTTATTTAAGCTGCTCTTCTGATTATATATTAAACGACGCCACGGGGTTCAATAGGAGCGGTTATACATGGCGACTTTTTAGCAGCGCATCCGACTTTTTAGCGATTAAATCGCATTAAGTCGTTAATCTCTACCTTTACACACACGCACGACATAAGCGGCGATATGGTACCTAAGCAAACGTAATACAGTCTCAGCTGCAGTGATACGATCGCGATGCAAACGCGATACAGTATCGATGTAAACGCGATACAGTATCGACGCAAACTCGGTAGAGTATCGATGCAAACGCGATACAGTCTCAGCTGCAGTGATACGATCGTGATGCAAACGCTATACAGTATCGACGCAAACGCGATATGGTATTTATGCAAACGCGATACAGTCTCAGCTGCAGTGATACGAATGCGATGCAAACACGATACAGTATCGATGTAAACGCGATACGCTATCGATGCATACGCTATACAGTATCGATGCAAACGCGATGCAGCAGCGCGATTTTTTTATACCATTAGAGATCCACCCACCTGCACTTTACACTTTGTCGCGATGCGCGTGTATACGCGTTTCTAATATGCATAACCATCGATTTAACAACGCGTTTGCATCGATACAGGTGCACTTTTTTAATCATTTAACTTGAACGACTGCCACCAATAAATCTTTAATGTCGCGACATAATTGCGCGTTTCACAAACGGGCGTTTGTATCGCTGCTAAATGTCGTCATATATAACTGCTCTAAGAGAAATCACAAAGTACGTTAAAAAGCATCATTTGATATATGTATATCATAACAATTGACTTTCGTACATGTAACGTGACGTTAGTATAATACACCAAGTAATGCTTATATACATTTACTATTTTCATTTTAGGTTACCGGATCTTTTAGTCGGCGCGCCGTTTCGCTTCGACCGTGACTCTGGCGGAGCAGTGTATCTGTACTTGAATAAAGACCATGAGCTTCCTACGAAATTCAACCTTAGACTTACCGGCAAGCCAGAATCTCAATTCGGAATAGCCATCGCCAGCGCCGGAGACTTGAATAAAGATGGTTGTGATGACGTAGCAATTGGTAGTCCTTATGAAGACGATGGTGTTGTCTACATCCATATGGGAGATAGAAAGAATGGTCTCCATAGTAAACCAGATCAGATTATCACCGCGCAGTCCTTACCTTGGGCAAAACGTTTGATGAAAACCTTTGGGTACTCCTTGTCTGGTAATATTGATTTGGATGGTAATGGATACCCTGATCTGCTGGTTGGCGCTTATGAAGCTGTAGGTTACTAATTTTTATATTTCTTAAGTTTTCAAATAGAATTACACCAACCTTAAAGAACCGTTTAAAGATTAATGTAGTGAGCTTTCCACGGCTATGGGACATGTAAAGAAAATACTTTAAATATTGTAGATAATGATATTTTGCAGCATGGTGACATTATTTCATTTTTAAAAGTAAATAATACTGTATTCAAACACTTTCATAGAGGTTGCTCAGCGAATTAAACCGAAGAAAAGTGAAAAAAAAATACCTTCCAAGTAACATAGTATCTTAAATTAGCATACAATTTATTAAAAAAAGAAACAAAATTGAAACTACCAATATATCTACGGCATTCCATCTTTTTGTATGTAAATTCTCAATTTTTTAATAAGTCCGTTGCATGTAGATAGTCATGTCTTGAATTATAACATAATGATAACGAGATATTCGAAATTAATACGCCCTAATTCCATTTTTAATTCGTCCACATTGTCAAATACACCTCTTTTCTAGCTCAAGGGAGGTAGACGCATTAAAATACTAGATTATTTTCATTTATGACCGATTTAAAAAAAGAGAAGATTCGATTGTATTTTTTGTGTGTATGTTACGCGATTACTGCGACATTTGTGAACCAATTTCGATGATTATGTTTTTGTTGAAAAGGAGGAACCATTTAAATTTAAAGAAAATATTTAACCTCTAAGGGTGGCAAATTAGATTTTTTTTGTTTCCATTTTCTTTCACCATTTTTTGATTCTTGTAAAAATGTTATAATTATAAATACTAAGATTGTGTGCGTTTAAACAAAATATCTTGCACTTTTAGTAAACTGTGCAAGGAAGTAGAACCTTAAGTGGATACTTATTAGTAAATAAACAAAGATAGATTTTGGAATGCAAACATGAAGCAAAATATCCTTTCTACAATACTTGAAGTACTTTCCATTCATGTCCCATAGCCGTGATACGTCTTGAATATATAATTAAAACATTTAACAAAATATGCTGACTAATTTAGGCACATAATACCTACCTTCTCAACGGTTTCAATTTTTATTTCATCTTCACAAATAAATGTGTCTTCTGTTACAGAGTGCCGTCGCCCTGATCCGAGCAAGACCAGTAATCGACATTAAAACTTCAGTTCGTCCATCACATATCATCACCAACATTGATCCTTCCAAACACGGCTGCGACAGGGACCCAGGGGCCAACTACACCTGTTTCCATTTGCAAGCTTGCTGTATCATCAAATCTCTTGTAAAATCCACGCAAAGTAATACACACAAAATTAACTACATCATAGAAGCTGAGACTTTCCCTGGCGGAAGAAAATTTTCTAGAGTATTCTTTGATAAAGCCAAAACTAGAATTGTGGATAGAGCTATTGAACTTCGAAAGGATGTCGAAGACTGTAGGGAGCATATTGTTTATTTAAAAAATAATACAAGGGATATACAGACTCCTATCAAGGTAAGCCATAGTTTTAGGATTTGAAAACGTAATTTAAATCACGTTTAGTTAACCACTACGCGTTAGGCGCTACGGCAATAAATCCGTTTAAAACCAACAACGATGTAAAAACGCATAGAAAAATCCGTAAGGTCAGCTGCTCGATCCGTAGCTGAATTGGTGGAGGTATAATAATAAGAATGACACAAGACACAGGTTCGAGTCCTGTCATATCGAAGGAATTTTTCTTTGTGTTCGATCTTTGTATTAATAATTATAAACTAGTGGAGCAGTTTCACAAAAAAAAAAGAATATCATGGTAGTAAAACGATTTAATATACATTGTAATCAATTTTGTGTATAACAATTTCGTTAAGTATACTCAGTGTCTTTGAAGAGGACCCGTAACTACCAAACCCCAACCGAAAACTTTGTATTACAATAACATTCCGGAGCATATATTAAGATTAACATTTCCTAAGTTTAAAAACTACATTAAAAATATTTTAATTGAATAGTCATATTACAAAATTGAAGTCTACGTGTTAGATAAAGATATATTTAAAAGACGACTTGGCTCTAGATCCTACACAAATTTGATTCTGTGATTTTGTGTTCTGTGATTTGATTTGTTTACTTGAAAAGAGAAAAATCCTTAGAGTTTCTTGCTCGTTCTTCTTAGGGATGTCAGCGTAGTGAACGAGCAGTAGCTTAAATGTGACGTTTTCAAGTGTAAATTTATTTTACCTATGGAATAAATGATCTCTGAATTTGACTTTGTTGTTCATAATAAATGATTCTAACCGTAATTTTTAACTTTTGCAGTTTCAATTAACCTACAAGTTAGTCCATGAGGAGCCTCAATTCAAAACAAGCGGCCTATTACCCAACATTGACGAGTACCCAGTGTTAAATGCAACAGCAACGATGACCTTCAGTGCTACGTTCTTGAACGATTGTGGTGCGGATGTAGAGTGCGTCAGTGATTTAGTCGTTACACCTGAATTGCTGTTGCCCAGGAGTAAGTACACTTTTAATAATAAAGTAAAGTAGAAAAACTTTTCTATATTGTCTAGGGTCTGGGTGTTTGTGGTACCATTGTTTCCGAATTCCATAACACAAGCGTTTTAGTTTCTTACTTTGAGATCGGGGCAACGTATGTAATGTTCTCTAATATTATTTCTTATTATATTAACACCATATGCTTATCGTGATTGACAACCTAAAATTTAATAGAACACCTAAAAATAATGTCAATCCAGAATAGGAAGATTTTGTCCACAATTGCTAGGTTTGGCAGACAGGTTTATCTTGGTTTCTTTCTACAACTACAACAGAATGATTTGAGACTCTATTCGTACGAGCACATGATAAGAAAATTTAGGAAAATAGAAAGTAACCAAAACATGGGAAATAAAACTATTTTTTCTTTCTTAATATAACCTTTTACATTAAAATTTTAATTTAACCTAAACAACTAATTTTTTTTTTAATTTAATAAAAATTGTTAACCTAAACAATTTTTATTTCCAGCAAACAACAGCTCCCCGTACTCACTGACGCTAGGACAAGAGGACGAGATCAAAATATCCATCGCGGTAGACAACTACGGCGAGTCCGCCTACGAGGCTGAGCTGCTCGTCGAACACCCAGCTAATTTGCATTACATCGGTGCTGATATTAAGGTATTGTATTTACTGCATTCCGTTATGTTAATGACAAATCCATCGAGATATTTGGTCAACGTACTTGACAATGAATAACCATAAGTCGAACGACAGATGTGTTGACTTATGAGTATATTAATCCATATACGACTCAGCGATTGTATCTTGTAGTATTAGACGGTAGTCAATTTCGCTAACCTATTTTATAGAAAATGTAAAAGTAACAGACGAAATTCAAAAATTTTTTGTTTGCATTTTTGCTCTTTTGCAGGATAAACACATTCTCTGTACAAGTACAAACACAACGAGGGTATCTTGCACGCTGGAGAATCCCTTCAAAAAGCAACCAAAAGATAGTCCGCCAATCATAATGAGATTCGACGCCAGAGGTTTGGACGATAGTAAACCTTCCGTGATATTCAGCGTTTGGGCCAATTCCACCTCGAAGGAGGTACATCCTGGCAAGACTCCTGTGAAACTTGAAGCCCTTGTTATTAAGAATGCTGAGTTATCGATCAAGGGGTGAGATTACATTTTTAAGCAGTACGGCATGTCCTACATCAACAAGACGCATTTATATCCAACGTACAGTATACCAAACGTTGGAAACTAACTTACGGCGCCTTGAAATTAGAAACGCTATTAAAAGCTACCCTATTTCAAAGGACCCTAACTCTGATTTAGAGAGGTGTAACAAGCGTTTAATTTTATTACAATATTTAGAAGCGCAGCAGGGGCGCGTGCGCGCCTCTTTTGCATTCACAATTAGTGAACTAAAAATTACTGAATCACCACTGTTGCGCCACTGCAGTGCTTCTACAAGCGTCTAATTTGACGGCGGCCTTAAGCGTTTTAATTTTGAACGGGTTTTTCTAGACACTTAGTTTGACTGTAATAATAAAACTAAACCTGTCTGGAAAATAGGAAGGGCACTAGCCTTTTAAGAACCGGATAAAGTCCGTGCAAACGGGCTGATCTGAGGTCAAGATCTGACTGAGTTGGTCTCTGTACGGGCTTGCTTGCACAAGTTAAAGTGCCTTTCCCATATAACCAAGAGGTTGATAGGGAGGGGTCACTATAAACAAAATTTATGTACTAAATATATGGAACTGTTCTAATAAAACGTAACTTTATTCTAGTGTTGCCCGTCCGGAGCAAGTGTTCTACGGAGGAGAGATTAAAGGAGAATCAGCTATGACATACTTCGATGACATCGGTCCCAGAGTCATACATACCTACCAGGTATGCAATATAAGAATCTTAGCTACAAGTCACAATCAAAAATCTATGTGTTCGTAGACATTCATAATCCTATCCACTTTACTATAAACAGTAATAGAAGGGTTAGCTGCAAAGTTTGAAATAACTCACGAACTAGTCGATCAAAGAACCTGAAATTAATACATTTTGGAAATAATGTATTAATGCTATTAAAATTTACTTTGCGACAGTATATAAATTTAAAAATACTTGTATATCAACAAAATAGTTTTACAATTTTGTTAGCTAACATAACTTCGTTGCAATAGTGTTGCTGCGTCAGGAACGTACACAAGTCTCTTTTGCTCTATGATCTCAAAAGTTTTGCCTATTCATCAATGTACATATTCTATTTAACTAAAGACTCTCCAAAAATTAGAAGAAATAGAATCTCTGAATATCGATAATATATAGGCGAGGTTATTAAATTTTGTTGTTGCCGGTAAAGGTTGGTTTATTGTAAAGCCATAGTAAGTTCTTGGTTATAAAAAAATAAGATGCATTGGTCTCCTTCCTTCCAGATATTCAACTTTGGTCCATGGAAGGTGCGGTCGGTGCAAGTATCAATCTTATGGCCGTATCAAGTGGCTTCAGATAACGCACAAGGAAAATGGCTTTTGTACCCTGAGGCGATACCCACTGTCGAACAAGAACCTGGTAAGTCAAATGATTAACATTAAACATTAATTACAGTATTCCATTATTGGATATGTCTAACAATGGAATATTGTAATGAGCCTATGGTCTCACTCAAGCTACGGTCTGGAGTGTTTCTGGTTTCTAGAGTTTTTAGAAAAGGTACTGAACTACTCCGTTACTAAGCCGATATTACTCAAGCGGTACAGTCTGTAATGTCATTCATAGCTACTATACTGCTGCGACTGTTGATATTAAACTAGATATACAAGTCCTACTATGCTCATAAATATAGCTCTTATACAAGAAGCGCAGCAGTTTTAGGACCAGTAGATCTCCTTGTGAAAGAGTTCGTCCAGGGAAGTATTGCCACCTTGCCTGTTTCTTATGAATAGAGCATAAGTCGTAGGATGAACCAAAGTTTTTTTGTTTTTTAGTTCAAGTTTTTTGTTATGGCAAGATGTTTTTTTACGTAACCTTAAATGTCTATTAATTTTTATAGATATGTTTGGTTTTTTTTTATGAAAAGTAAGGAAGCAAACGAGCCACTTGATGGGAGGTGGTCATCGTCACCCATAGACGTTGCTCATGATCTATTTTGGGATTAGTAACTAAAACTAACTTGTGTTATGGAAATCAGAAACAACGACGGCACCACAAACAGTAGTTTAGTAGTAGTAGAGCTCCTTATGAAAGAGTTCGTACAGGAAAGTACTGCCACCACACCTATTTCTGCCGCAAAGCAGTAATGTTAGCATTACTGCGTTCCGGTTTAGAAGGGTAAGGGTGCTGGTGAAATTACAGGCACATAGGACTTGTCAACTTTATGTCTCAGGGTGACGGGCGCAGTGGCAATGCCCCTCAGATCTTTACGATTTAAAGCTCCGAGTGGCACTGCAACTGTTGAACAGGCGTGTAGGTTTCCATCAGGCGCACGACTTGTTCGTCCCGTTACTTGATATCATAAAAAATCCTAAGTATTTACTTGCCATTTAGTTGCTTAAGGGTCATTACTTAGCTTCAGGGTACCTTCAAATTAGACGCTGATAGAGACGTTGCTAAATATTGTATGAAAATTAGTAGTGACCCAGCAGCATCAGCGCCACTGTGGTGCTTATATAAGTGTCTAATTTGAAGGCGCCCTTAGTTTCCTTAGTCGCCGGTAGCTCCTTCTGGACACTAGTAACGATGCTTGAACTCCCTAGTTCAAGCATCGTTACTAGTCGTAGTCGTAGTCGGTGTCACGATGGATGTCGATAAAGAAACACTTATTACGCTCATTGTGATGATTATACGCGAAGACATCGTCAGTAATACTTTCAGGCAAATAAACTATGCCAACAACAATTCCTAATGGCTTACATAGAATATTTTTTTATTGGCAATCGATGTGTGTGTCTAGTGGAAGCAACTAGAAATAGCAGTGTTGACGTCAGCACATAAAGTGGTCGATTTCGTATTAATTATATAAGAATAGAAAATACACTATTAGTTACCGATGGCTTGTATCCAATACAAGACAGTGTTCACGTTTTCGGGTTCTTTCAAGGAACTCTTCTGTAGGTTTCAGTGAACAAAATTAACCTGATTCAAACAAGCTGCTTATCTCGGTGTAATCTGTATTTTTACTTCCAGAGTTTTTCTTTACTAAGTAAGTTAATTGTAAGGCCGACAATGATAATTTGTTTAATATATGCGATTTTCGTTTACAGGTGGAAACCAAGGGGAATGTTATATAGATAAAAGCAAAATCAACCCTTTGAACTTAACTTTACGACCAGGAGCGCCAGATATTATATCAGAAAACTTAGAAATTGATCCATTCCAGTTAATGCGCAAAAAAAATATAAGGACTTCCTTAAAAAAGGAGAATATTGAAGACAAGAAGATTGAATCTGGTGGACTAAACAAAGTTAGAAAAAAACGGGAGACTATTGTAAAAGCCGAGGCGTATACTAATAGTGATGGAGAGAGAAAAAATGTCGTCAATATGGTGAGTTGTCTCAACGACGATCATGGTAATAATACAATTTTTCTACTGATGGAAGAAAGTATAAAACGTAAACGTAAACATGTTACGTCACATGTCGCAGTCCTTACACGTAAATAAATATGTATATATGTTAGGTTTATGTTAGTCTATAAGGTATATACGTAATGGTCTTTGTATCCTGAATATAAATAAATAAAAATAAAATAAATAAGTAGGCGTAGAAATACTTGCAATTTTTATATTTTTCACACCTTACAAGCTGTTTGAAATTTGAAATATCAATTTATCTTTAATTTAAAATTATGCCCTTTTCTCAATCTTCTTAAAAAAATAATTAAAAAAAATACCACTCCTTCAGAATTGTCAAGAGCGAACAGCGAAATGTCTCCGCATCCAATGCGTCATCTACCAACTAGAACGTATGCAGGGCTCCATAATCACCATAAAGGCGAGGTTATGGAACTCTACTCTCGTTGAAGACTACCCTCGAGTTAGCAATGTCATCATCGCCTCTGATGCTTCTATTGTTATTCCTGACCATTATAATATTCATCAGACGGAACATGAAGATGATACAGCTATGGTAAGAAATTGATGTCATTACACAGGTTTTTGGACCTCGCATAGATAGTTCTGATTCCTTCAATGTTGCACTTGGACCTGTGCCTTTACCATGAAATTACACCGACATTTCTTGCTAGCGACCTCGTCAAATATTAGTGTACAAAATGTTGTTTCTTCAAGTGACCGCTAGGGGCGTTGTATAATCTGCTGTACAAAATAAAATTTTGAAGTAATTTACGCGATCGCTAGCGACAACTGTCACATTAAACTCGTGGTAGAGACACTGAAGAAAACAGGTAGTGATTCATGATCAACCCATTGTACATACCACTGCAGGGCACTTGTCTCTTCCAAGCAGAAGCGGATTATTCAATGAGAGTTGGATACACAATTTCCAATGATTGTGGACCGTTTTTGACATACAGGTTTCAATACCTTTTCCTTCACTTTTAGTGAGAGATACTGCTACTAACACTGACTTACTTAACTTAAGAATTAGCACAGCACATCAAGCTACATATTGACGGATCTTATTCCGTTGCATTAGAGGCGATATTAAAACAAAAGTGTATAAGCTTGATGTGCTGTTGACTGTACATACATACCGCCACAAGGATTCGAACCACAGGCCTCTCAATTGAAAAGCAAGTGCTCTACATATACTACACGGTCGTATCTCATTTGGTGTTCGTAGTTTTAATAAAGCAAAACACCTTCATGGGAATGGGCAGTACTGTGATTATCGTACAGTTTTTCCATCTTTTTCAGTATGTTTATAAAAATACTTTACTTTGTTTTAGGTAAAAACCGTCGCTTATTCAGACTTGAAGGCAACCGTACCAATCGGGCCTCCCTATTGGGTGATCATAATATCAGTTATAATAGGATTACTACTGCTTATTCTCCTCATATTTGCATTATGGAAGTTCGGCTTCTTTAAGAGAAGTCGACCGGACCCCACGCTGTCTGGAAACCTAGAGAAAAACAACCACGAGTCCAGTCCATTCATCGAAAGAGATAGGTATACCTCTCGATAGCCGACAACTTACAGTTCTACAATGAATGTTACTGTAAACGTTGCGTGAAATAGTGAACATTTAATATCTCGAAAATGTGAACTCGTTAAATACAGTGAACATGACTTTGATAATAGAACACAAAGTGTCGAAATAAGTGAGTACGACTTTAGAAATTCGAAATGAAAATCACAAAAAACTGAACACGTTATAATGAACTGGAACTGAATTTAGAAAAAAATATTTTAGCCTAAGTAACAATCAATGTACATAATAAAGATCATAAGGAATTGAATTCACTGTTGGATTTAGTTATACGACATGTGTTTTAGTATATAATTATAAAATATCTTTTGACTGTGATGTCTTCATAGAGGAAAAATGCGTGTAAGTATGTGATGTTAAAAATCAACATGGTTTTATTTTGTTAATGTTTGCGCGAGTCCTTCATAATGAAAAATTTAATGAAATTGTTTTTTGCTAGTGCATTTCGGTAGCACGTAGTGTGAAAATTTCATATTATATTAATTGTTTGTTTTATATATTCGTCTATATAGTTCGACGTTGTTATGTGTCGTAATAAAATCAACTGGATAACGAGTAGACAAACGTAGCACAGTACTATTTTCTAATGTTTAAGTTTGAGTTAGAGTGAGTGAGCAAGTTGTATGAAAATCGACGATTGCTTTGTGAATCCATTTCATTGTAATATATTACTCGACAATACACTTTTCTTCCTAATCAATTCATTCAAACTCAACCTTTGATTGTAGTAATGCACTGAAGTGCGGGAAAAGTACTTTTATAACCCGGATTCAACTAAATCGACTCGCAAACGTCTGAGAAATCGCATATGTGCACTCAAAAAGTACAAACGAATTGAGAACCTCCTCCTTTTTTGAGGTCGTTTAAAAAATATAAAATAAATAATTTAGACATATATTATTATGTACCTGTGACGTATGTTTATCATCCCAGCTACATTTTTTTACGATACATAAATATCTTTGAAAAAAGAAATGTATTTTCTGTAAATACCTACTTGCCTTAGTATTTATAAATAGTTTAAGACTACTACTTAAGGACTAGATTTTTTTACTAGTCACAAAACGTAATAAATATTATAAAATTGAAGTGGATGTACATATGTATGGATGTTCATGGAATCGTTGATGCTTACTTAATATTTTAATTGTTTACATACACGTTTCTTAAGTACTTAAATAAATTTAAAATCTTTCAGGTATCACCAATATACAAATATAGCTTCAAATCATATTTTAATGTACGTAATATCTTATGTCGCTTAATACCTTGTGTTTTATGTCCATAAAAGAAATAGAATTACATGTCACGTATGAAATTTTTTCTCTTGACAAAATATTTAACTAATAATTCTGGTGTTTACTTAAAGGGTTATTTCGTTAATTGATTGATCGATGTGGTTGTCTATATGCCAGAAATATATAGGCTATCTCTCTTATTTGCGTCATATATGAAGGAGGTTGTTTCCACCTTCCAATAAAAACAACCTTTAGCATACAGACGCTCTGAAATCACTAAAAAAATGAGTTCTTGCAAATATTTTGATCGAGTGGATATGAACATAGAGTTAATCTTTATAATTAAATTTAAAAAATTGCTTCCAAATTACGAATGAATCATAACACTGCCAAGTTCTCTTTAAATAATATAATATTTTTACACTATTATAAAAATATGATCACTTAAATAACACTGGTTGTGATTACCTATTTGTTTTAATTTTTAGTTGCATTTCTTGTAATAAAATAATATAGTGCCATTTGACTAATTTTGTTTTATTATTTCCTATTTTACGTAGCTGTTAATGCCAAACAAGCTATATCTTTTTGTTATTTTATTTTTGAATAATGAGTATTGGGCCTGGTGGAAAGCGACACGACTATCCATAACAGTTGCACTGCCATGTTTATTGTCCGGATTCCTATATTATTATTATATTATATTTGAGTGATGAGGGCCTGCGCACAGATCCTGAATGAAACCATCCTAATAATATATAGCTTTGTTTTATTTGTATATCAAGTAACAATATCGTAGTAAATTTATCTAATTCCTATATTTGTATTATAAAGTAAGTATAGAAATAATTCGTTATAGTGATTAGATATTTACTAAATATATACTATTTATTTTAATTTAGTACGACGGCTTGTATGAGTAATAGTTACGCGCCGGAGTTGACGGTTTCTGAAAAGAAAAATGCTTGATACTCAATCGGAATTTGCATTACAGGTGTGGAGGGTGTTACTTTGGACAGAGGACATATTTACACGAGAAACAAAGGTGTATTCTCATCATTAAAGTTGTTTATTTCCGTGATTAAAATAAACTCCAAAAATTTTGTCACTGGCCAACTAAGCACCCTGTATTTTTTGTTAGTTGCATTTTTTATGATATCAAATGACGGTAAGAACAAAGAGTTTGGTGATAAGCGACATACTCTATAATCCATAACAGTTGCAGTCCACTCAAAGCTTTGAGTCACAGATATCTTAAGGGTACTTGTCACTACGCACGTCACGCGGAGACAAAACTGACAAGTTCGATGTACTTGTAGTTTGACTGTAGGGGTGCTAACCCCTACCCTTCAAAATAATAAAGTAATATGTTATATTATTTATTTATTTCTTTTCAAAATTTAATATATTATACAGGTTATCCACCCAATGCAATAGAACAGCACAATTGGACGTAGTTAAGCACGAAGGGTCCAATCTACAAAATTATCAAATAATGGGTTATATGTACCAAACGGTGCCTAAAGTCTAACCTCTTAGATCAGCAAAAAAATCCAACATATAAACATAAATAAATATATCTGTAGTAGCATGACATTGTAAGTTTCGAAAATAAAATAAGAGTGAGTAACACTTTTAAACTTCAAACTGCCATATCTCCAAAGTGACGGGATGTGCATTGGATCCTTTTTGTTTAACTACTTCCAATTACTAAATGTAAAATATAAAGCGCTATCTTTGTAAATTCACTTAGAAAACAATAGAACAGATCGATCCTATTTGGTATTTCGTTCAGGGCGCGCAATGTGCGCGTCAGCGAACATTCGGTCATGAGATTGGTCTTTCCAAGCGGCGCCGCCAGTAGCGGTAGCCGGCAACGTCGCCCCACGTACCTATCAGGAGCACATAAGCCTAATACCTCTAGTAGCATCGGATTGCATAGCATATCTCTCATTACTTTCAACAAGTACCTACACTGTTAACGCTAAGTTCCTGTGCGCGTGTAGCTCGATGTATCCCACCTTACCCAACATGAACAGATTAAGATACATTACGGTGTAGAAGGGGTAAAGCCCGTATTGCCTCAAGTACAGATAATCTTAAGAATTTGTTTTGAATGCGCTCTAGTAAACCGCGTTTGATGTGGATTTAGAAACTTACATCTTTTTTCACTGCTGACCAACAGAACGTGCATAAGTTTGTGCCTTTGTCTGTGTTGTCCTTTTGAAGACAGGGTTGCTCCATATCGCCTGTGGTATAAAAACGTAAACGAATTAAGTGCAGAACACACTTTTTAAAGGAAAGTAAGTAAGAAACTTATTTACGATTTTCTAAGCAAATTATTGTACTCATTTGTACTTTTAAAAATCTAACTGTAATATTAAAAAACTATATATTATAAGCCAATCCTATATGTGATGAATAGATCTATTCGTTTGACTTTTAGAGCCCTTATGAAAGAGTTCGCCCAGGGAAGTACCGCCACCACATCTATTTCTGTCGCCTAGCAGTAATGTGAGCATTACTGCGTTTTGACGGATAAGGATGTTGGTGAAATTACAGGCACATGGGACATGTTTGTCGACTTATGTCGCAGGATGACGGGCGCAGTGGCAGTCAGATTTAAAGCTCTAAATGGTCATGCAACTGTTATGGACAGGCGCGCGACTTGTTCGTCCCGTCACTTGGAATCATAAATAAATAAAAGACTGAGTGCAAGGTTTTTTTTATTGGCAATGTGCCAGACAGCCCATACCATATCTAGTCTCAAAACTAGGAAATATCCGTACTAAATAAAAGCAATGGAATTCACTCCGGGGAACCCAGGGCACCCTGGCCAAAAACAACTAAGTAAAGTTAATTTATTAATATGATTAGAACCCCCTCGTCGAGCGCCCGCAGTGTCAACTATTGGGCCGTCGAGGTAGTCAAAAGGAATTAATACATAATGAAAATGAAGGAAATAATACAGTGAGGAACAAATTTTTGACACACGTTTAAGAGTCTTTTGCTACACATGGCTTGCAAGAAAGAGGCCCAACCATAACTTAGTCAGTGATAGTACTTTCACAACAAACAAATCTAGCATAAAAGTATAAATTAAATTTTTTGTCGATTCTCGGATTTTTTATTTTAAATCATTTAATTATTACCCTAAATAATAATACACTTACCGGTATAAAGTTGATTATCCAAATGCGTAATGTAACTGCCGGCCAGCCGCAAGATCTCGATCTTGCTGAGCTTCCTGTCGGGCGGTTCCGTTGGAATGAGCAGACGCAGCGTGTTGAACGCCGTGTTCACGCTGCTTGGGATCATAGCATATTTTGATAACTACTCATTATTGTTCGATGGGCAACTTCTGTATGTAGCAAGATTCGTAATTAGGTGTTCTTATGATTACGTATATAAGGCTTAAAATATAAATTATATGGTAAAATTTTGGACGACTTGAAGCATTTTAAAATTTCAGCCATTAAATATTGATTCAGAAAGGAAAATTCTGAATTCGTTACTTTCAGAACACAAGTGTTTCCTACTTAGTAGATAGACTTTGTTCAGGTGATGTAGAACTTGAAAACCGTTTTTAACTAAAAATTGATATAAAGATCAAACACAAAGAAAAATTCCTACGATCTGTTGGACCCAAACTAGCGTCTGTTTGCAATCCGGGGCTACCACACTCACCCATTGTGCTAAACATCGAGTGAGTAGATCTTACGAATTTGTGTACGTGCTCGTTGTATATCTTTGTTCTGGATTTTAAACGGTTTTTTGCCGTACCGCCACCAGTTAACTATTTTTTGTGATCTTTTGGGAATATATGCTTCGAAGTGGGAATAGATACGTCGCGTTTGCTGGAAAACAGAAGTATAAGAGCTAGTTAATAAAATCACTCTCTGCCCTAATACTGTTGTTCAATCACTAAGTTGAAGATTAAACCGATGAGAATCGTGTTACCAAACCCTTCGCCACCTTTATTCGCGTTAATAAATGTCGTCAATGTAAATAACCCGACAAAAAAATTAAGAGTCGCTGTCTCTAGACAGGGAGTCCTGGATAGTGATTACTTCTTTAAGGCAAAATATCTGTTATTATTATTAGGGTGGCTCCATTAAAGGCCTGCGCAGCCCTTCGTCACTGTAACCATCAATTGATGTATTGTGATCAGTTCCAGCTGCCCCTGGAGTGCGTTCATGTATGGAGTGTATAAGAAATCGTAGTACATTCTTAAATAATAACCTATCTATTATAACCTAATCGTTTAAAACAAAAACCATCTAAATAATATTCGCATAATGTATTGGTTTTTTTCGACCTGTAATAAGAGTTGAAATAGACAATTCGGCTTATTTTGCTTTCTAAAGCACAGGAAATAGAAGCTATTTTTAAACGACGACGACAACGGCTAGTGTGTGAGTTTGCCAGTACAACCAACCATCATAAAAATCGTCTGGTGGATGAGACTGAAGATGCTTAGTATATAATGTATAAAGTATCTAAACCTGCATTCGTACGGCACACGAGGCCGAAAATTTCCGAAAGTATACGAAAGGACATTTGGCTAGTACGCTATACGCCATTCACCTCTAACTTATGTTCTTAAACTGAATTGATATCCGATCCAATTTAATGCTCGTCATCGTGCGCGTCCGAAGATTGTTGTTGTTTTGATTGTGAAAACACGCAAGAAATTTATAAGAAAACACAGACTCCCTTGTATGACGCCCAACTAGTGCACTACCAGTTCTACTAGGCACTTGCCGCCACTGATTGTGACCAGTAATGTATCATTATCATTCGTATTTGGTCTATTATATCTACGCTAGAGTTCATATTGTTACGCAACTGGTCGTGTGGTTGACCCTTGTTACTTACGTTCGTAACGAGAACGCAAAATGTAATTGTACAGTCGATTACAGTAATTCAATATAAAAAGTATTCTAATGCTAACAAAAACAGCCAACACTAATACTAACTTCTGCGTCCTGTCTCTCTCTCTGGCATTGGCTTGGCAACGTTGCTTCGCAGTCGGTACTACTTCACTGCTCTGGAATGTACTGATCAACACTTGCCGCTCCCAGCTTTCATCACACTGATAGTTTATAAAGTTTTCCATTTTGGTATTTAACTGAATTAAATGTTCTACATATTTATTTTAAAATTTTCAAATGTGGAATAATCTATTTTTTTCTTGGTAAAAATTTGTGTCGTGTTTTTTTATTTATTTTTCAATAGAGAATGCGTATTAATCGTATGGCGTTTGTTACTGTACTAATGAGAATCCTGTTGGATATCACATCATGAAGGAATCATTTACGAAGAACAGCGCGCGCCACTGATGAGCCTCTTAACCGATAATTGTATAAACAGATGGCTTCCGAATCTACAGGGACTCACTCAGTAGAGGACCACGAAGGCGATATGTTAATTGAATTATAATAAAATCATAAGATTACTACTAAAACAGTTGGCTTTTAAGAAAAAGCTACTTCATTGTAAATTTGTATATGTGTGTATATGTATGTAATATATGTTACGGGAAATTTGAATAATCGGAAATTATTAATACGGACCAATGGATAAATTTATTACTTTGGCCGATCCTTATTAATAGTGCCCGACTGCCAGTGCTGTATTTTATAAATTGAGGATTAAGATGGCATTAATTTGGACAACTTGGATCGGGAAGTGTGACCCTATTTCCCGTGGACAATAATCTTTTTTTTTTTCGAAACATTACAGATCATTTCGTTTATTTTTTAATCATGACAGGGTGGTTATTATTCAGTGATAATTCATGCCATTTTTATTACATTGCCCATTTGACTATTAAAACAGACTGGCCATTATTCATAGTTACCGGGATTATCAAATAATAACCTGTAGCCTTAGAATAATAACGCATAGAATGATAGTTTCATATCAAACGAACTGTCACAAGTGAGGCAAAAATCAAATTCATGTAGGCTAGTTTTAGTAGTAGGTTAATTTTCGGTTTTAGTGAATATTTATATAAAAATACAAGTTGAAACGCGTTACTTCCTTGTGAATGTGATGTTAGTATCTATTTAATGTTTGTCTGACGTATTTTTACACTCATTTACCGCACATTTCGTCATTTTTAGCTAAAATTCTTGATCTGTTCGCGGTGCAAGTTGACCTTGAGCACTGAAGGCCCGCCCGCTCGTGTAGGCCCTTTTGGCGCGCTTCAATTTGCCTCACTTAGCTTGTGCGGACTAGGTTTCTATGAGTTATAATTCTAAGCCCGTAACACGCAAAAATATAAAAAAAGAAAAAATTCTCACACCTTTTCAAAATCGAAGTTGAAAATACTTATTCGATTAATTTCGAATCTATCTTTTACCATAACTTAATTTATATAATTGTAAAGGCTCGAATGTAGAGCTCAAAATCACTCGTTCCTTGATTCAGTTCTGGCTAGACAAGCGGCGTATATGTCATCAAGAATGTAAAACTCCCCCGTGCTTCGTCCCCAGCTCCTGATGGCCGCAATAAATACGCTTAATGTCACGATGACAACCGCTGATTTGTTCGCTGACTCACTATGCGTTTGTTTTGTTTTTTTTTTGTTCACTTTTTCAGAACATGACTATGTTTTATTTACAAAGACAAAGAATGGGAAATGTAGTATGTGTTTATTGAGACAGACTATCTTAGAAAATTATACATATACTTCCACCATAAACGGTGCCAAGTCATTACAAGTGCATACAACACGAAAAATTTGGATTAACTAATGAAGTACAAAGTTATAAAATTACAGCAGATGTAAAGATCAAAAAATTTGCTTGCACATGCTAATAACTGCTTGTTGTTTTTTATATGAAATATGTCGATGTCTCCGATCGCAGTCAAAGCATTGTATGACTGCATGAGTCTGTTTAATACTTTTCTAGATTAGTTCGACATAAAAAAAAACCATTATTTTGTCAATGTACCCCATTACATAGACCTAGACACTCTACGAGGAACATTTACGTTAATAAGGGCCAGTGCCTCTGATAACGATGCGTCATTGTTAAGAAGAATTTTTAAGTAAGAAGTAATTTTTTTATCAAAAATAGTGACAGACAACATTAAAAAGAGGAATAATATAAACTTGCAGTTCTTCATAGTCGTCTTCACAAAGCCTCAAATTCATTTAAGGGGCAATGTATATGCTTCTATAATAAGAGTCCAGTTGATATTCAAAATTAGCCATTCACGAGGTTTAAAACTAACTATAGTTTTATTATTAAACAAAAGCTTTATAATAAATAAAGGTAATAAAAAAATACATTTATTATATATGACATAACCAAAATCAGTGGTAGTGACCAGTTTAGCTTTTGTAAATAATAAATGTGTACAAATATATATTTATAAAGAGCAATCCCAAGAGTTTCTAACTCATTCGTCTCAGAGGAATCTGCCTTACGAATGAGGACCGGAATCTAATGAACATGACGATTTAAAGTGTAATTTACTTACCTATGAAATGAAGATTATTTGACTTTTGAGTTTGTGCTTGATGTACAGCAGAAATTCAATATCAAAAATTCGACATCTGGTTTCATTAGAAAATATTTTGAAATGACTTAAGCGAATTTTGAAATGAATTTTAAATACTAAAGTGTCACACCAATATTCCAAATCAATTTACTTGCATAATTTACATGCACATAATAACCAAATATAGTAAATGCCCAGTAGTATCTATATGCAACTAAATGATCGAAAGTTTTTAAGTGAATAACTCAATCTTTAGCTTGAATAATAAGGACCATTCGCGTCTCAAGGGATGCGACTGCGCATACCGTGGGAACAGAACGCATCTAATTGGTTAATAAGTATGAATGACCCAACGGCAAACAATCTGTATTCATTAATAAATAAAAACAATGAGGTTCACACGAAATAATGTAAGGCCGTGCGACAAATTGTAATTATGAAACCGTTTGTTGCTACACATCAACGATTAAGGCGTCAGTCTATAAAACTATAAAACTGTGTGTATTTAAACATTAATGAAAGTATAAAGAACAGCAGATTTCTGGAGAAAGTAAGCCGATATAGAAGATACGCAGCAAATGTTCAATGCCTATTTGTAACAAAATTTTAATAATAAAATGGCATTTATTTCTCCACAAAACATAAGAAACACAATGGTTAAAAAAGGAATAGAAAAAACAATTGAGTGACGTCGACAAAAAGGTTATAGACTCAGCATTGCTGATTTTCGTCTTCACCTGTAGCTAGCTAGTTGTTCGCTTGGTGCACCAAGCTATAATGCGGAATGTACACCAAGTAATAACTTACCTTAAGTAACAACTAGTAAGAAGTTAGAGCTCGTTGTGAAAGTCCTGCCACCTTACCTATTTCTGCCGCCAAGCAGGAATGTTACCATTACTGCATTCCGGGTTTGAAGGGTAAGGTTGCTGGTGAAACTACAGGCACATTATGTCTCAGGGTGACGAGCAGTGGCAGTGCACCTCAGTTTTTGCGCTTTAAAGTTCTGAATGGCACTGCAACTGTTATGGACAGGCGTGTAGCTTACCACCAGGCATACACGACTCGTTCGTCCCGTCACTTCATATTATAAAAAAAAGTTAAAATTTAATGGTTGACCGCGTAAATTTACATTTTTTTATACATTTAAACTAAAATTTAAAATTTTGTGCTGCTAGGAGTTTGTGGGGACCAGTTGTTACTTGATTATTGAACAATAAACTGTTTTTGGACAAACAGGGAATCGCGTTACATGAACCTTGCACAGTGAGCACCGCTCGTATACGTTGTTTAATGTCGTCAATGTAAATGGCTAAAAATTAAAGAGTCGCTGGCACTGGATAAGACATGGAATCTAAGATAATGATTACAAATTTAAAGACAAGTTACTATTATGGCTCTTCATTCAAGTACCTACGCAGCACTTTCTCACAGTGAACATCAATTAATGTATTGTGTCCGTTAATTACAATTTGGAGCCAATAGTATAAAAAAAAACTGAAGGATCTTGAAGATTTCGGTGGCTTAGCGGTTAGCATTGATGAGTAGGTTTCGCGAACGATTACTGGTAAAATCAGTTTGGGAAATGTACTTTACTAAATTGTTTCTGATATGTGTGTTCTGGATAGTACCTTGTATATAAATTTATTGTTCTGTCACACTTAGTACAGTGTATTCCCTATAGTTTATACCATCTAATTGATGTGGTTATTAGACACGTTATTCTTCTCCTAGCTTCCAATATCTTAATAAGTCAAGAAGACGCTCGGCTTTATACTCAATATTTAAATTCTACTCTATGCCATTTATGATAAGAACTGTGACAAGTATATAAAACTAACAGGTATGTTTTTATGTAGCTGTTATGATCCCAAATTTATTAAAACAAAGTAATAGAAAAATAAAGGAAATCTACAAACTTCGAGTTTATTTTTAGTTCATGAATTTGAAAACTAAACTCTCTTCTAAACTTTGTAGTGTAACATCAAGTTGAGTTTTATTAAAAATATGGTACACGTTGAATTATACTTCTTTATTGTATGAAAGCATTTTTGATATGCATTACTCACAATCGAATTGGACATTGCGATCAGTATATATCGTTTTTCCCACGCATCTTCAATTCAGATCATATCCCCAGCTCATCCACGACCAAGGGCCGATGAAGCAACCAATGATGCTCAGATGCGACGTCACGTCCCCACCACAGTAGCGGCCAACTGGCGCGGGCGCACCACGGCCAAGACTTTCTCCTCGCAGCGCGACACCTCAGAGAAACCGCTGCGCGAGTCTCCCCGCAACCAACTCGCGCGCAGGTCGACTCGACCAATGTTTTGTGTTTACCCTCACTTCCGCGTTCGAAATACGACTTTCGCTCTGTAAACAGTTCGTGTTCTTTTATTGAACATTTTAATATAATCTGTGTTAATTCCACTATTTGCCTTCCAATCTAGCCAGTGTCAAAGAGATTCTTTTAAACTTCCTAGGGATGTCCTGTAATTAGGTAAGTCGGTGCCTTTCTACTTTTTGCTTGGGTATTAGACGATGACATTCAGTGATAAGATGCAGTAGCCGTGTCTCTGGTGAATGCAAGGACGCTCTGCTAGCCCACCGGTCACCTGCTGAAACCACATACAATCGCGTACTTTTACTCAATTCGCTAAAATTTTAATTTGTTTGTTTCAACATCAAATAATAGTGCCATTAGTAGGTATGTACGTAACAGTACCATTTATAAAGTAGCCCCTTTGGTCCAATAAGGCCATATCTGCAAAATGATAATTTTTCTGGAAAGATGTTTACAGATTCTACGAACGAAATTAGTCGCTATTTTTTATGCTTAAATAGGAGATTTATGAAATTTCACTTATACATTGTTTCATGTAGTTCGTATTATTTTTATAACTTTCATGTAATAAAAGCACATTTTTACGTGGGCAAGCCACGAAGTATCCACTATTGGCATTATTTACATAAGATGGTTGTTACTGTAACAAAACTAATTTCAGCATCTTTTGTATCCAGTTTTTGTGCAAATTTAATAAAATTTGCTTATTTCGAGCAGTTTATTATGTAAACAAAACGTAACTGAATATCACTGCAAAAGTGTACACCCACATTCATCAAAAATACTTAATTATTAATTTTATTCTTATACATAATAAATAACAATAACATTCAAATATTACATAATTATGTTCTTTAGTAACATTTAAAGGAATATTGTAGTAAAAAAAAAGTTTTTAGGTTACACTGCTTTTGTGCTGATAGCCTTAATTAATCCCTGTAGCTATAATTCACAAAACATCAACACGGTCTCGCGTACTTTGTAATTCGCAACTTTTTAGTGTTAGAACTGTTAGATTTGATGAACAGTTAGAAGTAACCAGTCCTGACTCAGCGGAGTACAGATCAGCTGATTTGATGCTCTGTCAAGATATAAAATGTGCACCAAATCTGTAACAATTTGAATGATAAAAAAAAATACGACGGTAGCCAAAGCTTACCATCATATTAATTATTAATCACCGATATTCTTATCGAATAGTATAATAAACCAATTAGGTGGCAATTTAGCCATAATACTATCATAAAATGTAAGCCCATAAAATTTAATTTTGAAGTATTACTCTAGTACCTAAATAATAACCATAAACTGTAATCAAACATTTATAAATTATACAAAATTGTGTAAATTTTAAATATGTTCATGCACGAACGGTATACATATCGCATTCGAAACCAAATACTGTCCAACATTGTGGAATTCAGAAAAAACGATTTGAAAATTAAAAAAAAAATTATGAAACCAATATATAATTATTATTATTATTATTATATACATATATATTCTCTCTCTCTATATTAGAGCGGTGTTTCCTAACACAGGCCCTTTCAAGCCTAAAAGGAAACACCAGCCCCTGTAATATGCCTCTTGAAAGTAACCAATAAAACATTTTATTTATATTTATTTTTATTATTTATTCTCGTTTAAAAATGGATAATTAATTAAGTGTTATGCATGAATAAAAATAGTCACATTATTCGCCATTCAGGATTTTTTCTAATTTTCAAATTGTATTTTCTCAATTCCACAATTTTCAGTTACGACAGTATTTGGTTTCATTTGCGAAATATCTCCTTGCTTTATATTGGCCACGGGCCATGCACGCATTAAGTTACGAGCAGTTGGTGCATTTTCCCAGTTTGTACAAAACCTCGCTCAAATTTTAACGAAATCGAATGGACAATTTTGTACATACTCTAACTCAAAAAGGTTCTTTCAGTTTGTTAAAATTTGAATTTATAATGTGACGGTACAACACTGCAATTTAAACAAATATTCAATTATTTAAAAAAATCGATCGAGTATAGTCGTTAAAGTATTAAGTATTGAGATGGCTCGATTCGCCAACAAATTAAACATTAAAAAGACGAGGGAGTCTACAAATTCGAGTCGACAGCTATGAGACATTAATATAAAACCGCAGTAAAATAGATTACGTCGAAATTAGAAATATTGTACTTGGATTAATTGATAGTGTAACCAGGAATTTGTAAGAATTTTTTTGGACGACTGAGGAATTTTAACAAAATGATTTTTCGAGAATTATTGTACGAACAGCGAATATGAACAAACTAAGTACTTTACCCTTCGAGAACCACCATACATGCATACACCATACAGACTGTTTACGATTTCACACACGCTTTATTCATCTAAAATGATGTTTTAAGATAGATCACATCAAACGTTGTAATAAATATAAAAATTTAATTAATATATTTTATTCAAAAAATATGATTATTAATCAAAATTCCCAAAGATTTTCAATCTTTACAGTACTTAAAACCTATGCTAGTACAATAAGGAATCATCTTTCTTACTACTACGTTCAAGCGGAACTAACTATCAATTATCACACGGTCACTACAAAAGATTATCAAAAAGTAATCGAGACGTGTTTTACGCATGAGCTCATGCTGAACATACTTATAACGCCTTACAATCACAAAGCTAATACATAAGCAAGCACGACCACACACGGAAATTCTTAGAGATTCCGAATGTAACCACCACGAAGACGACATAGGTTCGTTTTCAATAGGACATTTGTTCAGTTACGAATTACGTGAGGTCTTATAATTTTATAAAATGTAAGTGCGCATTTGACGTCCATGTCATCTGATAGAAAGTGACGATGAGATCGACGATGGACATGCACACCTAAATAATGCCTATTCAGTCTCGCCTTCAAAAGGCCCAAGTTATAACGTTCAGGGAATAAGTCTGCAGGAAGGAAATTCCACTCCATAGACGTTCGCCCTTAAATGTGGAAGCGTAACGCTCCGTGCGAATCTTTGGAATATCCACAACATAGGGGTGCAACCCAAGTCTATGTCTAGTTCCCCGGAAATGGAAAAGGGAAAGCAGTATTAAATCGCGAAATTCTATCCGTCTACTGAGTATTCTCTTTTTAGATTATAATAATATGCACCAATAATATAATATATTTAACAAACTATATCTCTTAATTCTTTGAAGACAAAAAAACTGAAAACTTGAATATGAACCTATTAAAGATAATTTATTTTAGGTCTAAACCTCCTTATTAATTAATACATTAATTGATTTCTAATTTACACTTCACTTTATAAATACTATAAGGTGATAAATCAGGAACGTGTAGGTATCTTATACGCAATTTTCTTTTTGTTCCCACAAAATTCAATCAGACCAGAGAGTTTTTTTAGTTTTTTTTTACCAAGGTCGTACGAGTAATAAAGTGGTCCGACATTATTTTAGCTGTATCATCATACTCTACCTACATTGTAGATAAGTGAGTGTCAGGTACATAACGAACATATTTATTACTTCAATTGGTATCTACCAACATCTATAGTACCATTTTGCGGTAATCGCGTTACGTCACACAGGATATTAAGATCCTGCCAATGACCTAACAGTAATGCGCTGAACAATGTCTGTACGACATAATACGTAGGTAACGACGAGGGTTTTCCAATGACATTGTTCACGTACGTACGACTGGTTACGTATAAATAGCAGTATCGCTGATAAGTACTTAATGATATTTTAATGGGTGAAGTGATAAAGAGAATTATTATATAGTCTAATTACTCCACTTATAAACTTTTGTGTCTCAACATCTATAACACTTACATGTTTTACTAAATTACATGTGTACTGCTGTCTATTTCTCTTACTATTACAAAAACATACTCATAAGTATTGTAAAAGATATGTTGTCTTGTTATTTATATGGTATGTAAATTGCTTTTACAAACCGTGAACGTGTTAGTTTTAGGACTCATATCTATCAAATATTGTAATAATAATGTACATAGTTTTCACAATATCAGTTATCATGGTATGGTATATAATATCATATATCTCAGATACTTTTCACTATAGTACCAACAATATAATAAAAAAAAAATTGTAATGCTGAAGCATCGTCAAGGTTTACAACACTTGGAAAGGTGTCCCCAACCTGCAAAAATAATGCCGCGGACTTTGATCTAAAGTTTAGACTTATTTACTTTTTTTAGAAAAGACCCATATAAAGCAGAGGATATAAGATGGATTGACGATGACAATAATGCTTTCAAAATCGTAATTACAAACATCCTCCAGTGTTCTAGCGAAAAGTGCGAAAAAATCAACAATCGTGACTTCTTTAAACCAATTTCAACTAATCGTAAAAGCGCAATATGATGATGAATGCCATTTAGGCTACTTTGGTGATTGGAAAATCACAACTAATATACATATAATTCCTGAAAACGTACCTCCTCTAATAAGACATCACCAACAGAGGTCTAATGGTCTGATTAGCTTCTCCGACAGGCAGGTTCCCTTACGAGACCATAAAGCAAATTCACTGTCCTGGTGTAGAACAAATCATCAAAAAACCCACATCAACATACTCGCTCACATTTGTACGTACCCGTACATAAAGCCGAATGTTACACAGTTCATAATTATTATCTGTTTCGATATCTTGGTCTCTTAGTAATCATTAGCCACATGTCGATATGTCTCGGGTGACTGTGTGTTGTAGAGACAGGCTAATATCGGTCGATATATATGTTTATCTCATGTGACACTGCCGTTTCTATGTCAAGGCTATTAAAATTTCCATCTACAAGGTCCGAGCTAGGTGCCGCTTATGATTTAATATCTTTGGAGTATTGCAACAAGCTTGGTTGATTTTTAAAAAAGATAGTCCTGTGTGGGATATTTAGGCATTTCATAGGTTAATTGATACAAATTAATATGGCGGGTGTATAGATGTAATTTTTTTATTATAATACAACATTTTCTATGATCTCTAAACGTTTGTAAAAATTTTTTTTAAAACATAAAGTTACGAGACGAACAAGTCGTGTGCGTGATGGTAAGCTACACGCCTGTCCATAACAGTTATAGTGCCACTCAGAACTTTAAATTGGAAAGATCTGAGGGGCACTACCACTGCG